GAGGGCGCGAGGGGCACCGAGGTCTCCTCCTCCTTGTTGTTGGGATTCTTTGATTCAGGGTCAGTGGTCGTATTGCAAACACAAGAGCCACTTTAGTAAAAGAAAAATATCTTTACTATAAAAACAAAATAAAACATGGGTATGGTACTTTGGATAAAAGAAATAAAATTAAAAAGATTACATACTTAGTTACTCTCAGTAATAAATGGTAACAGCTACATCTTTCTATCTTTCTTTGGCTTCTAGAAGAGAACTTCCTCTTTGGTTCACACAAAGGGCCATAAAGCTTGTGAATACATGGATGCGAGATCAAAGCATTTCCACAAACAAGTTGTTAGTTGACCCAATACAAAGGTTACAGGTCACTTCATTAGGGTAAACAACTCCCACAAACTTTCCCGCTGTTGAATACATTATGTAAGGTAACATCCTGTTTCCTAACAAACAACATTTAACTCTGCAATGACTGAAGTGTAAGCAACTTGTTAGGTATTCTTAATTTTAAAGTAAATCAGCAGAGTATTAAAGAGGCAGAGTCCATGGTGTGTTTAAATGAATAAAAGTTTACTACAACCTAACATGGGGAAAAGGTACACGGGATGTAAAATAACAAAGAGCTAATATGCCTACATCCTTACAGCCTAATATTCCTACATCCTTACAGCTAGACAGAACATGGCAGAAAAACAATGGAGACTAACTTCTTCTTGCTCAGGACAAAGAGCCATAAAATGCTAATACTTGGCACTCTAGTCTCCAGTCAGAACAACAAACTAGATCTGAAGTTACCAGGCTTTCTAGCTCTCTAAACAGATTGTATACAAACAAACATGTGACTTAACAAACATAATTAACCCAGTAAATACTGAAAAGTGTTTTAACTTGTAACACCCAACACAACTTGAAACTCCAACACTCCTCCCCCCCCTGTAGATCTTCCACTACCAGTCGGAGGCCTACCCGGCCAGGGAGGGCACCTTCCGCGACCGTGTCTCCTGGGCGGGAGACGTGGCCAAGCACGACGCGTCCATCGCGATCGCCAGCCCGACGATGGACGACAACGGGACGTTCACCTGCTCCGTGAAGAACCCCCCTGACGTGCAGCACAACCTCCCCCAGACGCTGCTCACCGTCACCCAGCGAGGTAACTGCCGCGCTCCGGGAGACAGGCGGGGCTTTGTCCAGCGGCCCCTGGCCGCCTCCCTCACCACAGGCAGGAGGCAGGGGCCGGATCCGCTCACTCCGCCGGGGTACAGAAACGAAGCGGGGGCCTGTGAGCTCCCCCCCCCGCCCGGGCCTGTGCTTGTCAGGCAGCCGGGATGCGCCCTTCTCCTCCTCCTCCTCTCCCTGGAGACCCTGGTTGTCTGTGCTGGGGCGGGACCCCTTCCTCCTCCTCCTCTCCCTCTCTTGGGCGGGGCTCTCTGCGCCTTTGCCGGCGGCTGCCTGGACTGGGCCTCTTTCCGCAGGGGCCTCCTTCCAGCTGACGGTGGCCGGCCTGCTCTCCCTGCTGGTCTTCCTCCCGGCGGCCCTTGTCGTGCTTCTGCTGCTGGTCAGGATGGGCCGCAAGTCTGGGGCCCTCAGCCGCGGGAAGAAGCTTCCCAACAAGAAGTCCTCCATCGAAGTCGTGGACGAGTAAGATGAGAGCCGGGGGCTGGTGGTGGTGGTGGTGGGGGCTCCGGGTGTCAGGGAATGTATTGCTTGGGGGGGCTCTTTGATTAAAATGACGGCAGCTCTTTGCAGCAAAACAAGTGTGCGTCCTGTGGAGCCCTCGCAAAGGAAACAGAACTTCCAGCCTCTTAGGGACTTTGTGCACAAAACCAAGCCAGGCTGGCTGTCAGAAACCCATGGCCCTCTGGCTGCCTCTCCCCCCCCCCCCCCCCGTGCCCGCCCTCTGAGGCCTCTCTGTTGGGTAATAGTGAGATATTGAAAAAATTGTATTTAGCAGAGATAAGATAGTCCAGCAGTCCCGGAATAAAATAATTCAGACTCAG